CATCACCCACAGCTAATCAAAAAAACATCCCCCTGAGGAGACAAGCTAACAGTGATTGCCCATGCTAGAGCCGAAGAAAGGGACACCACACCCAGGAACAGAAGCCAGATGTTCTGACCACTGGTCCCCTATTCCATCTATCCCACGCCATTGCTTTTGCATTACATGATTATGGCACATAGAACTAATAGATGCAGTTTTACAATAGCAATTGTTCTTCTAAACAGTCAAGTTCTTCTTTACTTGGAATAATTACTTCCCTGGCATAGTTCCCATTGTGTTCTAAAGCCAAGCAATGGTCATGGCTAATAGCCAACCATGGCCAACAGTACCGTGGCTATAATTTTGAAAATTTGCTTTCAGAACAAAGACTTATGCTCCTGATAATAAAATGCAGTCAGAACATTGAGCTGTGTTATAATTTAATATAATATTTTAGCATGTATCAAAAAGCTGTATTATTCTGCATGGATATAGTCAGAGTAGTTCTTAAAGTGGAAAGTCAGGGAGTAGTAGGATAAGTCCTGTTTTCCTCAGAGTTAAAGAGACTGGTTCTAAGTTGTGACCCTCTGGAAGTATTTACTGGAAGAAAAAAAAACAAAAAACAACCCAACATGAAAGAATAGGAAATTGTACATTAAAAATGAGCAAAAATAGCTATTGATCTTAAGGGCTGCATTTAGACTAGGATAAAGCAGTCTGCAGTAAAGCAATTTCATTTCTATTTAATTTATGTTATGATACTGATAGGATTACCAGTAGCACAGTATCCAAGTAGTTCACAACACAGAGGTGTTATTACCAACATCATAATTTTACAGATGAAGAAATGGAAGTTCAAATTCTCAAAGCTATTAAAGTACACCGATAAGGTATCTTGACAAAGTGACTCACACTATGGTGGGTCAGGAAATCAAATTCAGGTTTCTCACTCCCTCAGCAGCATTCAGATAACTGGTCCAAGGTCTGCTTTCAGTCAGATGGTTTTGCTTTTGTTACAATATAAAATAATTTTAACCAAGACCATATGATATTACCGAGTCCTATCCCATATGGATTTAAGAACTGTTCAATCTCACTTCCACTCTGAGGAAAGTAACATGTATTCTTATGAACATTCAAAGTGATCTCATGTGTGTGTGTTTGCTAACAACTCACAACTAATTTCTTTTCTCAGGTAAATCTCTGCTTTTAGAAGTCATTTGCTCCTGGTCTTCAGTCATCACCACACGGTAATTCAAAACTGGCATATTGGCATCAGAATTATTTTAGCTTCAGGGTGAAAAGACAATGAAGGTTGTGGGCCCTTCCACTATTCTGCATCCCATGGTTCTAAGGTATTTGTTTCCTGTTTTTTTGCTGGGGGAGAAAAAAAGTTAGGACATCAGCTCACAAAAAATAAAGACTGGGTCACATGAGTACTTGTGGGAGGCAAAAATTCAAACAGTCCCCACTGCTGTCTATAACTGAACTTTCACTCCTGATAAGACATCAAAAAACTTGTAAGCCATGATTTTTTGTCCAAACAACATGAAAGCAAAGGAAGGAACCCCATTGATTTAATGGCCTGCTAATATGACTCTGGGGTGGGTAGGCAGCAGTTGCTGGTTTAACTCCATGGAGTTAACAAACGTGGCAAAGTTGTGGCAACAGGACCTTTGGCAAAGGGGAGCACCTAAGTCAGTCAGACATGCACGTGTCCATAGGGCAAGATGTAATTCATTGGATGGGGCTGAGAGAGGTGGCCAATGTCACTGCAAGTCCATTCCCTATCATCTTTGAGAGGTCATGGTAATCAGGGGACGTTCCTGATGATTGGAAAAAGGCAAATGTCACAAAATGCATTCTTGAAGTAAAGAAGGAGGATCCATAGAGATACTCAGAATTTGACTGTATACAGCTCTGTACAACTTGATATAGCTGGTGCTGCTTTGAACAGTGAGTTGGACTACATGACCTGGTGAGGTCACTTTCAACCTAAATTATCCCATGATTGTGCAGTTCCAGGTGAGCCCAATGACTTGCATTAGACTTTTGAGAAGATAGCAAATCTTAACCTGAAAATTTAAGAAGACAGAAAATCCATTTCTATTATTACCGTTGGGTTTCAGCCACAGTATTAGACGTGAGTACTTTCTCTCCTCTCAAATTGCCTTCTCAGTTGTAATATGTGAAAGAAACACTGACTGTACAGAAATCAGAGATAACCGATTTTTACTTTATTTTCATAAAACCCTTGCCAAAAAGCAGATGTTCATTTTAGTGTGTTTTATTAGACATGCTGTCTATGCTCTCATCAATTTGTATTTCCTGTCATTACCTCCTGGGAGGGCCTTCAGGATACATCCACCTTTTTATGAAGTGCTGGCACAGCCCCTGATATAGCCCCAAATGGGTGCTTCGGTCATGGTAAAACACAAATGCAAAGAAATCCTAAAAAAACACAGTACACACAAAGGGCTTTTCTTCTCCCAAGCATTTCCGGACAGACATCTAGGTCATTCCCTCGCTGTCCATTTTCAGCTGGGAAGAAGCCCTTGAGATACAGGATACAAGGGTAGAAGGGACAAATATGCCATTACCAGCAAGCTGCTTGGGTGTGGGAGGTGAGTCCGCACCTTCAGTGTGGAGAGCTGGAGCATGAGAAGGGCAGGGAACCTTGGGGTGAACACAGCTAGATGTTGCTCCCCACTCTTGTGCCAGGATCCTTGTGCAAATGAAGCTTTTGCAGCCGGTTGCTGTGTTCATACCAGCACCACAGCATGCAAGTGCTTTGGTCCTTGCTTTCACATTGCTCAGACCACACAGGAAAAAAGGCAGCTGTCTTCCTAAATGAAGTGTTGTGGGGCTCCATCTACAATGTCGCTCATCTGATCTTTTTGGCCCTGCCTTCACACTCCACCTGGCAAGTCAGGGCAGGAGTGGGATGTTGATAGGCACAGTGCTGTTTCAGAGACAGTGTGATGCATCACAGGGAGGATGTCCCCACTGAAACAACAAGCTCAAGGCTGGCCAAAAGCTAGACAGTGCTTCACTTGGCTTTTCTGACCATGGGAAACAAGGAGTGCAGCCAGTGGGTCTGCTTCTGCCACAGAAAGGGGAGGGTAGGAGTTGGTTGCTCCTAGGAGCTCCACGGGGCATGAGGGCCCATGCCGGGAGAGGCTGCCTCTTCTTCCAGATGCAAATGCAACCCTTATCACCACAGCCTTGGCCTTGGCTGCAATGGGCCACCTGGGTCTGCAGCCTTGGCAAAGCAGTGATGGGCCATTTTGCAGGTCTGGCCATTAACTCCCCTTGGCAGCTCCCTGGTTTGCCTGTGCCCTGCAACGACTGTGGAAGAAAATGCCCGGGACCAAGAGGGAAAGCGTCCAAACCTGAGCTGACACAGCTCATTTGGGCTTGGCAGGACAACTGTCAAGAGCAGCCTTTCTGGATTCAAAGCCAGTAAAACGATTCTCTGCTGCCTGTATTTCTTTAGAAAAGTGTTGTTTGTTGTGCCACCAGTCTTGAGGCAAGGGCCTTTGAGGGAAAAAGGGCAGACCTACAAGAATTTGACTCTGGTCTGGAGAAGAGAGAGAAAGCAGGCCACAGTCTATTTGTTGGGTTTTGTTTTTGTTTTGTTTTGTTTTTTCTTAAAACACATAACATAGAGAAAACAATGTACAGTATTATTATACAGCAGGGATGTACTCCCATGGACTCCCATACGTGCCTGTGGGGTGTCCATCCAGCTCATGACTGCTGGGGTCAGCCTGGCCCAGTCCACCTTTAACTTGCTGAAATAGAGAGCAATAGCAATTAAAACACTGCCGTTGACCTTCGTGTGAGGTCCCCACAGATTAGGTAGGGCTGCTGTCTTCAGTGGTATTTAGGTACCCTATATAACTTTGGGAAGCTGTGCTTGAGGGTGTCCCCAGATGCTGTAGCTCTGAGTCCCTTCTTCAAGCAGTGTCTGACTTAAAACTGTTGATTACTGGTATGTGTGTGTCATATATCAAGTCACACAGCAACAAAAAATACACATTCCTTAGGCTTCTTCTAGCTCTGGCTGTCAACCGCAAAACTATCTTCTTCAAATATATGTAAACTAAAACCATTTTGTTACCAAAGAAATGGCAAACTCTCCTCCCTCTTGCTTGAAGCACTTACAGTCCTTTGTTTAAAAATGCACCAGCGGTGAGCTAGACTGCAGGATCAAGCCTGTTCTCCAAAATGGCACAACGTCATGCCTGACTGACTTCTCCAAAACACACACAGAAATGAGGACAGAAATTGCAGTTCTGGGCTGGGAAAGGTGGAGGAGGGAAGTGGCTCCGCCAGGCAAAGCAGACAGAGTGGCCACACGGAAACTGGTAAATCTGGGAGACTCCCAGTTCCTGAGGCTGAACTCACACATTGTGAGCAGGGTGAGATGGAGGGGCACCCCTCAGTCATTCCCATCACCTCAGTCTCCTCTGAAAAGGAGATGTGGCATCATGCAGATGGGTCCTCAGTCCTCACAATGTGGGGGCCAGGACACCTATAGAGCCCAAAGTAGCCCCACACCAGCCACAGGAGTGCTCAAATCAGGACTGGGAGGACTGTTGGGATGATGAGTAATCAAAAAATGAAGGAACTGAACTAATGGAAAGTGCAGATCCCATTTCTGTTTGACAAGATTTGAAATGTTTCTTTTTTTACCAGTTTATTTTTATATCCTTCCTAAGACTTATTAAATTAGCTTAAAAACATAACTGTTAATCATCAAATACCCAGATTTCCAGGTTAAAAAAACAGTCATAATTTTCAGAAAGTAAAAATAGACATGATTTAATATTGACCTGTGTAAAGCTATTTGCTAGAAATATTGTTCATGGCATGGCAAACAGCAAACATTGAATTATTTTAAAGTTGTGAAAACACCTGGTGCTAAGTTTCATCACACACACACCCCCCCCAGGAAAAAAAAAGACAGCATTGCTGAGAACACTTTAATATTAAATCATTTGAACATCTGGAGGCACAAATGTCATTTCAAAAACAAAAACAAGATAGGAGGGGAAAAATTAAAACAAAACACTTCCTACCAAGTCGAAATGCTACAAATGATACAAAACTCCTTGGCAATTGGCGTCGTGTTTGGACGCAACCTCGGATGGCGTAGCAGTGTTTTGGGTTATCAACCCACCCTTCACTAACACTGGTGATGCAAACACTTGGCGTTTCGCAGACTTGTGTCCAGAGTCCCTTGACTTCTGGGGCTGAGCTGACAGGGGAATTGCCCTTTTTGTGCACGTATGTCCCCAACCGAGGTGTGGGGTCACCTGCCCCCCGCTCGCAGCAGCCCTGTGGTGCTTTTCGAGGGGGTGCGGATGTCCCTGGAGACACGGGTGCTGTCCCGGGTGGGTGCGGGCGCTGTCCCCTGTGGGTGCGGGCGCTGTCCCGGGTGGGTGCGGGCGCTGTCCCGGGTGGGTGAGGGCGCTGTCCCCTGTGGGTGCGGGCGCTGTCCCGGGTGGGTGCGGGCGCTGTCCCGGGCGTGCCCCGCGTCGCCGGGCGGACGGTGCCTCTCCGTGGTGCAGCGCTGGCACTGCAGGCTCCGCGGGGTGAAACCGGCCCTGGCGGCCTCCCCGGCTGCGGACAAAGGGAACAGCGGTGGGGGGGAAAAGGCTGCCCGGTGAAATGACGGCTGTTATCTCCGGACGGCGGTGTCACCGTGGCCGGGCTCAAAGGATATACCTGAGCAAAGACTCGCAAGGTGCCAAGGGCTGGTCAGGGCCGAGGTGGGCTTCGTTTCTTACAACAGGGGCTCAGCACCACGGGGCCCAAGCTGAGACTGCAGCGTCCAGAAATCCCGGCCTGTAAGGGCTCATTTTGAGACCCCACGAGTCAAACAAAAAATACCCTCCAGAGCAGTGAGGACCCCCATGTTACAGAGGATCCCAGTCAGCTAGGAACTGGGTGAAATGAAATGAAAATTCCTCTCTTATCTTGCCAGATGATACAAGGATTCAGAAAGAGGATGTTTATAGGAAGCCTTATTTTGTAAACCAGGGACTAGCAGACCCTTATGTTGCGCTGCAGTGGATATTTAAGGAGGTATTTCAGTAAGAGACCAAGAGGGGACAGAGACAGGAGGATGTGGTTCAAGGCCCTGTTCCCAGCTTGCCTAGAGGACAAGTCCCCCTCTCCAGCCCCTTGTGTCCCTTACCTGTCTCCATTGTGCCCCCTCTGCTGTTCCTAACACACTGGACAGTGCCTAGCGCAGAGGGACATCCATCTAGGCACTGCCATTACGCAGATGATAACAGGAATAATGTTAACAGATGGCAGGTCTGAAGAGGAGCTGCTGCCACCGATGCAGGCTGGCGGACAAACATTCTTGCTCTGGCAGCTGGAACAACGGTAGCACAAATGAAACATGAACAATTTCCTCCCCGCCAGCAAAGAAAATAGCTCCAGGGAGAACCCAGGGAGAATAATTGTCAGTCTCCTCTAGGTATCATGGGAACAGAGGTCATTCAGTAATCTCGGAGTAAACAACAGCTTCTTATTTTTAATACAGAATAAAACCCCAAGAATCTAAGAGCAGGTACTTTACAATTGCTGAATTAGCTGCTTCAGTGCCCACCCCCTCCTGACCTTTCACTGAAAATCAATGAAGTGAGGCACGAAGGAGTTTTACTGTAACTGAAATGGACTCATAACAGAGGGTGAATCTCTTGTAACAAAAAGGTGCAGATACGACAAATGCTTCACATTCTTCCTGCTCCCGTCTTCACAGAAGATGCTGATCATTAGAGCAGTGAAATTCCTCCCAGATCCAGCCCCTCTTTTGGGACCCAGCCAGGTCTCTTTTTCTGTCTTCAGATGCTTTTTTTTTTTTTTTAATCATGGTTAAAATATGCCTTATAACATGTGTCGCATGCCCACTAGTGTGCCCCCAGAAACTTTCAGTAGGAGCCATCAGGGTTGATACTGGCATTCACACCAGCATATATGGGTTATCTCTGCTAATATCCAAAGATCTAAACCGGGGCAGAAGCCCTGTAAACCTCACTGAAGTCAAAATCCTGTAAATACTTGCCGGTAATTTGTAATAATATACCCATGACTGGTGCTATTTAGTTCAGTGGGACTATTCCTTGAAGAGGGAACTGCGTCGGACTAGCAGAATAACTGTTCTCAGGCTTTCCAACAGCGGCTAATTATGGATACAAAGGAAATAATAAAAGAATAGGGTAGACATACCTCACTGATGTGTTTTCCCAGTTTCCAGTAACATCCCATGCCACTGGAACAGTACCTGGCTTTTTGGCTCCTTAAGATAGGGAACATCCTTTTACCTCCTGAGGAATTCAGCAGACACTCCTGTCCTCATTCCAGCAGGACTCCTCCTGAGCAGGGGTCTCAAGCTCAGCTGTGATCATTTTATGCCATGGGCTCTACTTCACTTATACCTGCAGATTAGCCTATTTAAGAGGTTTCTCTGAAATATAGTTTGTATATGGATAGTGAAGTAAATACATGGCTACCAGCTTTTCTGCAGTATCCCACTGAGCAATATGCCTCTGGTATAAGAAAACAAAACTATCATGAACACATACACTGTAATGAACACAGCTACCATTTAAAAAAAAAAAAAAAAAAAAA